GGTCTGTGCCCATCGGCACGCACCTCATCTGGATGGTGGGGCAGAAGCGGTACATGTAGATGTGCCCATACAGACGGAGCTCCTGGGCGAACTCCGGGGCCAGCAGCTTCTGGAYGTCGGGTGGGAAGTAGCGTAGGGCGTTCCTCAGGGCCAGCTGGGCAGGGGACGGGGAGAGGCAGCTGGGGTGACCGGCCTTCTTCCCTTCCCGCCTGGAAWGGCTTCGCTCCTTCCCACTGACCCACTCTGGGACCTCCAGAGCCTCACCCTAGGCTTATAGGCAGGGTCACCTCCTCCAGGGAGGCCTCCCTGATTGCAGCCCCGTCCCCCGTCATGCAGATACAATGAGCTCCTCCTGCTCTGGCCCATCACAGACCATCTCTTGGCCTCAAGACTGTCATCCGGAGGCTGGTGACTGGGAGGTGGGGARCCGGGCTGCAGACTCAAGGGGAGGGCAGGCGTCCTCCACCCAGTGCCCCCACTGGGCGAGTGGCACAGCAGCTAGCTCCCTCTCCACTGCGAAGCCTCAGGCCAGGCACTGGGAGGAAGATTCCCCGATGCCAGGGCAGAGCCTGAAGCCAGGACCCAGGGGCCAAGGGAAAGGAGAGCCCCAGACAGGCCATCAAGCAGCCCAAAGCCCCCTGCTCTCCAATCACTCTTTTCCCTTCTGCCTGCCGGTCCTGCCCCAGGACCTTTGCACTTACCCTCCTCCTCCCCATCTTCTCTTCAGGTCTCAGAGCAGTAATCTTGCCCCCCCTTTTTTTAGACCTCTGAATGTGAGGATTTTTTGGAGGGGTAACAGGGATTGAACCCAGAGGCGCTGAACCCCTGAGCCCCGTCCCCAGCCCTGTTTTGCATTTTATTTAGAGACAGGGTCTCGCTGATTGGCTGAGGGCCTCACTAAATGGCTGAGGCTGGCCTTGAACCTGTGGTCCTCCTGCCTCAGCCCCTGAGGGTCACACCCACCTCTGGTTTCTTTTATTTCACTTTCTAACAACAACAAAAAAAGTTTACTTCCTTAAGTCGATTTCCCAACCTGCCACTAGGTGGCCCCCGAGGTCCAAATGCACGGGACTGTCCCTTCTCAAGGCCACGTGGGCTTCATTCCTGGGCTGGACTTGACTTTTCACTAAAGCCCTGGACAAGAAAGACCAGCTTCTAATTCCATAATGTTAATTTGTATCAAAAATGTTTTTTTTGGGGGGGACGGGGATCCTGGGGATTGAACTCAGGGGTGCTCACCACTGAGCYCCGTCCCCAGCCCTATTTTGCATTTTATTGAGAGACAGGGTCGCGCTGAGTGGCTCAGGGCCTCGCTGTTGCTGAGGCTGGCTTTGAACTCGCGATCCTCCTGCCTCAGCCTCCCGCCTCAGCCTCCCGCCTCAGTTGCTGGGGTGGGTGGCAGGTGTCATTGATTTTGTTTTCTTTTTAAGGACATAGAGACATCCTGGGGGCATCTCAGCTGTACTGATGGCGTGTGGCCGGGCCTCAGTGGCTGAAGGTCCAGACACTGGCTCCCAGCAGGTAGGGGACCCAAGGGTAAAAAAGAGCACTCACCCGCTGGATACCTGGGAGCTGAGCCAGATGGGCGGAGCCAAGGGGAGCCACGCCCCTGGGATGCCAGCCACGCCCCCGGCAGTGCCAGCCCCGCCCCTGGTGTAAAAGCCCCGCCTCAGCAGCATCAGCCCCGCCCCCTGTGATACCAGCCCCGCCCCCTGTGGCGTTAGCCCCGCCCACAGCCCCCTGAGCTCCCCAGGGTCCCCCCTCCCATCCCTTTCCCTGCCCCTTCCCAGCTCCACCCAGCCCCGACCAGACCACAGCGACCCTCAGCCACCCTCCAAGCACAACCCCGACTTTGGGTGGGGGTTCAGGAAAAAGCCTAAGGGGCAGCCACCCAAGGGGGCTTTGTCTGGCAAGTGGTGGGGTTCCTCTCTTCATCTTTGTGCTGATTTGTGTTTTCCACCTCCCCGCCCCTGTTTCTGAAGCCTTTGCGTCAAGAAAAAGGATCCCGGGTGCGGGGGAGGCTGGGGCTGGAGGATGGCAAATTGGAGGCCAGTCTCAGCAGTTTACTGAGGCCCTAAGCAACTTAGTGAGACCCTGTCTCAAAAGGGTTGGGGAGGGGGCTCAGTGGTTAAGAGTCCCTGGGTTCAATCCCTGGTACTACAAAAAAAAAAAAAAAAAAGAAAGAAAAAATAGTAAATAACTAGGTGGAAAACTCTATAGAGCGCCACACCGCTGTCCCCAGCCCCCTTGTGCCCCCCGGGTAGGAGGCTCGCCGCAGCTTCTGTGCGCATGTGCCACGGCGACAGGCTCCTAAGGCCAGTGTGTGGGGCAGGGCGAGGTACACAGGCCCGCTGCTGGCTCTGGGCCATTTCACACCCAGCCTGTTTGTCCTCCCACTAGAGGTGGCCTGTGTGCCACCACTTGCTGGCCCTGTGACCTTGAGCTTCAAGATCGTCATCTACAAAGGGTGATGGTGATTCCTGGCCCCCATGGCCTGTCCCCCGCTCCCCTGAGAGGGCCCAGCGGCTGGGTGAGGGACTGAGTAGGGGGTAGGAGTAGAGGGTCCCCGTGCGGCCATCTGAGGACACCTAGGGGACACTAGGTCCCCGCAGGCTCTGGCTGAGTTCTTACCTGCTCTTCTGCGGGGCTGAGGCCAGGGGTCCTGACGGGGGCGTGGGGCACCCCAGGCCAGCGTCCCCGGTTCTCTGGCAGGGGTCGCAGGGGCAGGCCCGAGCACAGCGCCTGGAGGCTGGACATGTCTGGCTGAGAGTCGAGGCCAGCGCTGTGGAGAGGCCAGGAGGAGACTGGGCAGTCAGAGGCCAGCAGGGTGGGGACCTGCAGCCTCAGGGCCACCTCCTCCAGCCCCTCATTGGGCCCAGGGCTGGGGGAAGGAGCCACGTGCAGGTCASGGGGGCAAGTCCTCTGGTCCCTGACTGATAGGCGGGCTGCCTGGGTGGTGACCCGGGGGGGAGGGGCTGGCTTCCTACTGGGGACAGGCTGGATGGGGGTCCCCTGGTCCCTTCCAGTGGGGTGGCCTGGAGGGTGGTGCTTTGTGGAACATGACTCTGGGGAGCTGGTCGGGCTCCAAGGGGGGGTGGCTTTGGCAATCTTATGGGGGTGTGACACCACTGTCACAATCCATGTTGAGTGGTCCTGGGAAGGGACACCTGGGTGTGACTCCAGCTCAGCTCCTGACCAGGCCCGTGGCCTTTGGCCCTGTCCCTATCTATTAAGTGGGTGGTAATTAACTGCTCAGGTTGCAGGGGCAGGAAGTGTCCAAACACCCTGTGAAGGGAACAACAATGTCACTACTGGCTGTCACGTTCCTGGGCTTGATCTTTTTTTTTTTTTGGTCCCAGGGATTGAACCCAGGGGTGCTTAACCCCTGAGCCCCGTCCCCAGCCCTTTTTCTATTTTATTGAAAGACAGGGTCTCACTGAATTGCTTAGGACCTTGCTAAGTGGCTGAGGCTGGCCTCCAACTCATGATCCTCCAGCCTCAGCCTCCCAAGCTGCTGGGATTGCTGGTATGCACCACCGTGCCGGGCTAAGCTGCCCGTCTCTAACACGCTTTATTTTCTCCATGTCACCATGCATATCCATCTGTCCCTATTTTCTACGTCCTCGTATATAACATAAAGTCAATGAGAGCAGACGCTGTGACGGCCTCSTTCTGTCCACTGGTGCCTGTGTATATAGGGGGTGGCTATCTGTGGAAGGAATGAAAGAGGGACACTGTCTGTGGGGGGGGGACAGCAGATGCAGAAAGGAACTTCTCAGGGAAGTTCCCGAGACTCTGGGCCTCTAGCCAGGCCTCTGCACCTTCCTCCCCCCCAGAACCTTCCTGGTGGGTCTCTCCATCTCCAGTATCATCTCTGAACGCGGAGAGGCTGAGATGTTGTTCTCAACGGTGGCCACCAGGTGGCAGCCTGGAGCCAGGACACGCAGCAGGACTCTGGGGGCTGGGAGGGCAGGTGGGGAAACTCAGGAATGGGGGTTAGGTGATAAGTGGGGTGGCAGGGGACATCGATGGCTTGAAAGCTCTGGGTCCTGGACCAATCTGGGGGTGACCAGGAGGTCACCAAGGCTGGAAGAGTACCTGATAAGGAGTGTCTGCTTCTGTCTGTGAGCTGGATTTCCGGTCACTTGAGAACCATGATCACCACTGGAGGCCACATCTTCAAGCCACCACAACTATTATTTACTCAACCTTCTTCCTCTTCTTTATTTTGGGTCCCAGGGATGGAACCCAGGGACCCTCGACCACCGAGCCCCGTCCCCAGCCCTGTTTCATATTTTATTTAGAGACAGGGTCTCCCTGCGTGGCTTAGGGCCTCGCTAAGTGGCGGAGGCTGGCCTCCACCTGGCGATCCTCCTGCCTCAGCCTCCCAAGCCGGAAGGTAGGGGACAGGTCGGTCCTGGGGGGAAGAAGGGGCACTCTTGTGCCTGATCCTGGGGGTGGGGCTCCTGTAGGACTCAGGACCAGCCCTGGCATGTAAGGAAACCAAATGTAAGGGACAGTAGCTGGAAGGGACCTGCTCCTCCCACTTCCCTACTGGTGAAGGCTTCTTGTGACACCCCAGGGCGGGGACTTTCTGGCGACGAGTTCCCACCCGCCCAGCCTCTGCCCTGGGCGGGCTGCTGACCAACTCCGTGGGGGCGGAGTCCGAAGACTTGTGTCCCCACCTGCCATCGCCCGCCTCCCCCGTCCCCAGGCTCCGTGGAACGCGCCACCCACCGGGGCGGGCCGGGCGGGTCCTGGAGCCCGGCGCCAACGTCCCCGCGCGGTGCAGCGGCCTGTCGCCCCTGAGCGGCGCAGCATGGGCAGGCGCTGCTCCTGGCGGCGACGCGCCTTGGTGGCCGCGGGTCTGGGCGCTGTGCTGCTGCTGCTGTGCGCCCTGCGCCCCGGTGAGTGACGGCCCCGGGTGAGTGACAGCCCGGCTCCCGCCGCCCCTCCGCGCTCCCAGTCCCAGCCCCCCAGCCCCGCGTCGCCCGTGGTGGCCTGTCCCCTGGAGATCGCGGGGCCACCTGCTGTCCCCTCCCTGGCTCCGGAGGCAGGAGGAGGTGGAGGGCATTTGGCCACCCTGGAATGCGGTCCCCTGGAGGTCACAGATGGGAGCAGGACCATCACTGCCAGGGGACACTGGACTCTCTTCAGTCCTCAGCTGTCCGTTTGAATCCTTGGCCCTGTCCCCTGGAGTCCCCTGGAGTCCCCTGGAGTCCCCTGGAGTCCCCACCCTAGGAATACTGGGTGCTTCTCTGGACCCCTCCCCTCAGGTCTGGTCTGGCTGGGAGAACTGGGCGGCCAGTCGCCACTGTGCAGTCCCCAGCCACTCCCTGGTCAGGGACAGGACAGGGTGTCCACTTGGGAGTGCTCAGGGGTCCTCCTTGAAAATCTCCCAGCAGCCCATTTCATAGAGGAGGAAACTGAGGTCAGAGTGGACCACAGTGTCGATGGCTAAGTGGCAGCTGTGCAGTCTGTCTGGAGCTGGGGGTTACTCAGTGGCCTGATCTTGGTGACTGTCATTTCCCTGTGTGTGTGTGTGTGTGGGGAATGTCGGGGGGGGTCTCTTCTGGCCTCCCCCATCCCCACTGGGGGCTCTGTGAAACCCTTGTGCCCTCCCAGACAGCTCTKTATCTCAGGGAGGGAGGGACAGCAGGACCCTGGGATCAGGGTGACCCGAGGAATGAGGCCCAGKGAGCACTTACCCAGGGAGGGACAGAGGGCCCAGGCTGGTGGCCTGAAGGCCACTCAACAAGTCCTGTTGAGTGAGGCTGTGTCTGTCACAGCCCACAGCAAAGTGCACTCAGCCCGCACCATCACCCATATATAAGGAGACAGGGCCTTGCTAAGTGGCTGAGGCTGGCTTTGAACTCKCGATCCTCCTGCCTCAGCCTCCCAAGCCGCTGGGGATGACAGGCATGCACCACCCCGCCGGGCTGTTTTTAATTTTCACTTTGAGACAGATCTCACCAACCTGCTGAGGCTGGCTTCCAACCTGTGATTCCCCTGCCCCAGCCTCCCAAGTCACCGGGTCACCTTCTTGGGTTCTGACCCTTCTGACGYCCCTCCTCTCGGAGCAGAACCTGGAAAAGCGGCTTGTGCGGGATAAGGAAGACAGAGGTGACCCTTGCCGGGTGCTGCGGCCCACCACTGTAATTCCTGAGACRAGGGAGGCTGAGGCAGGAGGATTGGGAGTTGGAGGCCAGCCTCAGCCACTCAAGGAGACCCTGCCTCTAAATAAAACATACACGATGGCTGGGGATGTGGCTCAGTGGTGAAGGCCCTGTGTTCACGGAGATGTCCTTCCACATGGTCCTTCCTGGAGAGGGTCAGGGAAGGGGCCCAGGGACCTCAGGTGCTGGGGACAATGGGCATCCTGAGAGCCTGAGCAGAACAGGGTCTTGGAGACTCCKCGGGGGGAGCCCTGCAGTGTAGGTGCTGCTGGTCAGCCGGGCTGTGGCGTGGCCATCTGCTCGCCGGGTCTTGCAACACTGCCACCAGCCACAACTGATTAACTGCAAACTGGGTGGTGTGACCTTTGTCCACAGCACGGGGAGACTCCAGATAACCTGTCCCCCACCCATGGTGGCCTCTCCTGGTCTCTTTGACATCCCTGTTCCCTCCCCCAGCCCCGTTCCCCCCTCCTGTTTCTCCGTTTTCAAAGCAAAAACACCCTCCTCTCCTCTGCATGGCGCCTGGTGGCTGTCCTGGGTCACCCAGCCYGAGCTCAGGCCCAGGCCTGTCCCCTCTAGGAGGGACTTGGAGCTGAGGACCCTGGCCCAGGCCATCGGGGGAATGGGAGTGGGGTCCCCTGGTGTGGCCCTGCTGGAGGGTCTCCAGGGGAGCTTCAGGGCACCCCTCTTTAGATCCTCTGTCCTGTCTGTCCCCCTCCGTGGCCAGCCTGCCTGTCCGCTGTGGTCTGGGTGCTGGGMGGGCGTGGGTGTGGGCAGGGCTGGACCTGCCCTGTAATCAGTGGCCACAGCTATTCTGGACTTTTCTCTGAGGCCTGACCCCTGGTCCCCGCTGCCTGCTGGCCCTTGGGGACTGCTGTAGGCTGTGATCTGCCCAGCAAATAGCAGGCCCTGGGCGAGGGCGGTGCATCAGGTCCAAATTGCAGGGCCCAGGAATAGATGGGCTGCTCCCCAGAGCTGCCCGATCCCCAGCTGTGGCCCTCTCCCGACTCTGAGGGACCAGCCCACATAGCTGCCCTCTCCTGATGAGCGTGTTGTTCTGGGAAGGCAACCACAGGTTCCCCCAGAGGTCCCTGAGTCCCGGTCTGGTGACAGAMATCCAAGTTCTAGAACCATCCATGACCCCCAAGGGGTCTCAGGCAGGCCACTGCCTCCTCCCAGTGCCCTGGTCACAGGGGAGCCGGGCTYTTGTTCCGGGGACACATGGCATCGTCTGGGGGTGTGGAGGGAGCCTGAAACGTGTGTTTCGAGACAGGGTCTCGCTAAGTGGCTGAGGCTGGCCTCCAACTCACAATCCTCCTGCCTCGGCCTCCCAAATAAATAAAAAGGGGCTGGGGACGTGGCTCAGGGGTTAAGTGCCCCTGGGTTCAATCCCTGGTACCAAATTATTCTATGGTGTTAGGGAGACCAAGGAAAATAGCAATGAGATTATGTTCCCAAGTCCCAGATGTGTCCAGAYCCCCGAGTCCACGGCTCGCTCACCCCATACCGCACTGACACCTTGTCCCTGTGTCCCCACAGCATTTGAAAACACAGCCCTGGGCTCCATTTGGCTCAGAGGGGAGAAGAAGAGTCCTCTGCAGTTACTCTATGACCTGGACCAGGTAGGTGGACAGAGCCAATCCCACTGCTGCACCCCCAGCTGTGGGGACCCAGAGCGCCTGCGTGTACCTGCTGTCAACAGGGACTGGACCCTGGGGCATGGGTGGTCTTGCTCCTTAGCTCAGGCTTTGTCCAGTGAGTGACAAGGGCAGGTCTTGAGGATACACTGAGACCCCTGGGGTCTCCACCCACCCTTCCTGCCATCCCTCCCGCCCCAGAATTTTAGGAGCCCCACCCTCTTCTTGGCCTCCAGCAGAGGCCCATGCGACCCACTGCGCATGCTCGACCCACTGCGCATGCTCGTAGGTCGGGTGCCCACACTCAGCTCCCAGCGCGCATGGGCGCACGCACCCCCACCAGACCCTGTGCGCTGCTTGTTGATTTAGGCTGGAGTTACAGCCGGAAAAGCCCATTGGAAGTTGAAAATATCTTTTATTTTATTTTTATTTATTTATTTWTTTTTGCACCAGGGATTGAACCCAGGGGTGCTTAACCACTGAGCCCCATCCTCAGCCCTTTTTAAATTTWAATTTTTATTTTAAAAATGTTTTGGTAYCGGGGATTGAACGCAGGGACACTCAACCACTGAGCCATGTCCCCAGACCCTTTGAAAGATTTTTAAATTTAGAGACAGGGTCTTGCTCAGTWGCTAAGGGCCTCTCTAAGTTGCAGAGGCTGGCCTTGAACTCGTGATCCTCCCGCCTCAGCCTCCCGAGCMGCTGGGATGACAGACSTGCGCCATCGCACCTGGCACAGAGAGGCCATTGGACATTAATCTGCTCTCSTCCGGTGCATATCCATTCTGAGCGCCCCTCCCGATACTTGCGGGCGTCTCCAGCGCACGCGATTGGTCCCGTCCTTCCCGGAGCCTCAGCCGGGTTAGGTTCCCGTTGGCCCCGCTCCAAGTCCAGGTCCGATTCTGCGGCTGGGATCGTCGGCCGCGATCGGTGCCAGGCCCGGGGTCTAGTCCAGGTGCCCGAGTCCCCGGGCGCGCCCCATCGGGTMGCCCCGGGGCCCGGGAGCTCACTGGGGCCAGCAGCTCTGACGCGTGTCCCTGTCGCCCGCAGGGTCCGCTCTCGGCCCTGGCGGAGGTGCACCGGCAGCGTCGCGATCTGCTGCGCCGCGCCTGCAGCCGCCACACGCGCCGGCAGCGGCTGCTGCAGCCGGAGGACCTGCGGCACGTGCTGGTGGACGACGCGCACGGGCTGCTCTACTGCTACGTGCCCAAGGTGGCCTGCACCAACTGGAAGCGCGTGCTGCTGGTGCTGAGCGGCCGCGCCCGCGGCGATCCGCGCGCCATCCCCGCGCACGAGGCGCACGCGCCGGGCCGCCTGCGCTCGCTGGCCGACTTCAGCCCCTCCGAGGTCAACCGGCGCCTGCGCGCCTACCTGGCCGTGCTGTTCGTGCGCGAGCCCTTCGAGCGCCTGGCGTCCGCCTACCGCAACAAGCTCGCGCGACCCTACAGCGCCACCTTCCAGCGACGCTATGGCGCGCGCATCGTGCGKCGCCTGCGTCCCGGCGCCCAGCCCGAGGCGCTGACCCGCGGCCACGACGTGCGCTTTGCSGAGTTCCTGGCCTACCTGCTGGACCCGCGCACGCGGCGCGACGAGCCCTTCAACGAGCATTGGGAGCGTGCCCACGCGCTCTGCCACCCGTGTCGCCTGCGCTATGACATCGTGGGCAAGTTCGAGACGCTGGCCGAGGACGCGGCTTTCGTGCTGGGCCTGGTGGGCGCCCCGGACCTGCGCTTCCCCGCGCCTCCGCGACCCCGGGCGGTGCCCGCGCGCGATCTGGCCGCGCGCCTCTTCCAGGACATCAGCCCCTTCTACCAGCGGCGCCTCTTCGATCTGTACAAGATGGACTTCCTGCTCTTCAACTACTCGGCCCCCTCCTACCTGCGGCTGCGCTAGGGCCCCCCCGGGGTGGCCGCAGGAAGGGCAGTGCTGTCCCCGCAGAGCCTGGGACGTGGCGGCTGCGTGGGGGTATCCGTGGGCCCGAGAAAGACCTCTCCTTTGAGAACCATGGCGAACACACCGAGCCAGCCAGGTGGGCGCAGGTCCCCCGTGGCCAGATTGGGATACCACCTGGCTCAGGTGGCTGTGGACCTGTCACCCTGCCTCTGCCTGTTTCTTCTACCTGCTCCAGGGGACAGGTACCTTCCCAAGCCGCTCGGGTGGCCAAGAGTTTATAATCCATTTTTGATTTTTTTTAGGCTGCAAGTGGCCAATTTGGGGGTCAAATCTGCCCCCATCCTGCTCATGGGGCCATAGAGCAGAATGCTACCGTGTGACTCTTGTGGCCCCAACCTTGTGCCCTTGCCCACCTCACCCACCCGGGCAAGGACAGACCTGGCCAAGGGGAGAAGATCTCCAATGGCCAGCCTCACGTGAGGGCCACTCGTGGATCCAGAGTGACCTGCCTTCCACTCCGCGCGGGTCACAGATGGGTGTCCCTTGTGGCTGGCGCCTCCGGAGTCCCCCTTTGATCTCAGTCTTTCCAGATACCAGGTCTTTCTGGGTGCCAGAGGAGCCCTGGGCGCACCTTGGTGGCAGATGACATAGGACATGGGTGGGGTGGGGGTGGAGGAGTTCTGTTTTAGAAATAAAAGTGTTTTGTTACTTTTTGATGGGATGGAGTTTTTCTGCCTCTCTGGTGCCTTTGCTGCAGGGAACCAGGCGATTCTGGAAGATTCTTCCTGGTGTCTTCTTTGGCTGTCCTCGGAGCCGCCTCCCCAGCCCTGTTTTGCCTTTTATTGAGAGACAGGGTCTCACTGAGTTGCTTAGGGCCTCGCTTTGGATGAGGCTGACTTTGGACTCACGATCCTCCTGCCTCAGCCTCCTGAGTCCCTGGGATGACAGGCGTGGGCCACTGAGCCTCTGGGCCTCTGAATCTGTCTTGTAGATCATTCCAAATCAATATACAGAGTTGGTTCTTCACTTTTAAAGTCTACACAGTGTGTCGGAGGTAGGTGTAGACATCAGTAGTGTCCTACTAGTAGTGTTTGGTTGATTTGAGGTCTTTCACTATCTGTGACAGAACTGGAGTGACTAGCGTGTCCTATCATCTTGACTTCCACGTGGATTTGGATCAAGTCCTTAGTGACATTTGCTTTATTTCTCTTTTTTTCTTTTCTGGTCCTGGGGCTGGAACCCAGGGGTGCTTCACCACCGAGCCCCATCCCCAGCCCTTTTTATATACAGGGTTTCACCAAGTTGCTCAGGGCCTCACTCAGTTGCGGAGGCTGGCCTCCAACTTTGGGTCCTCCTGCCTCAGCCTCCAGAGACATGTGCTTTCTTCCTGAGCCTCACACCCGTCCTGCACGATGAGACATAATGACCCCCACTTCTACGCACGAGAAAAGAGAGACTCCGAGACAGTGACCAGTCCACGCAGAAGTGGGATTTCAATGTACAAAGTTTATTACTAGGTACACGTGTGGTAGGTGTGGTTCCCGGGGAGGCAGAGAGGCCCTGGACTCCCGAGGCCATCAGGACGTTCCCCTCGAGACAAGTCTCTGCGGCTGCTGCCCAGAGCGTGCCGAGGAGAAGGTGGCTTTGAGGAAGGTCACTACAGACCTGGGGGCATTAGGAGAAGCCCCTGGATGGCTGATTTGCTTCCCTGAGCCAGGGGTCTTTAGTGTCGCTGTGCAGAGGGAATGGCGGGTGTCTGGCTTGCTTGGGGAAGCGGAGGCTCAGTAACTTGAGTTCCCAAAGGTGGCACTGGGGTGGCGGTGGGGGCGGAGGGTAGATGCTGGGTGATGCCGTGTGCTGCGGAGCCCCGAGCCTAGGGAGCCAGCCACAGCCACACCTCACCCCGGGAACGCAGCTAGCGGGGTCCAGGGACAGCAGACGTGGTCACCTCAGGGTGGTTCCAACCTATCTTGTCCCTGCCACCGAGCCTGGCGACCTGCTGGCTGCCCAGGAAGGCCAGAGCGCACGCAGGCTCACCTCCTCTGGCCACCAACACCCAAGCCCAGACCTGGCAGGTCCCTGTGGCCTCCTGTGCCCCCTGCCCGGTGCACGGCCGGGTGTCCTCAAGAGCTACCCATGCACGAGGTGACGGGCAGGGACACCTCTCTTCGCCAGGCCCCTTCTAGGGCACCCTCTGCCCCTCCTTCCCCAAGCTCCGTGACGCCCCCCCTGGTATTTGCTCCCTGCCCTTCTCTGAAGGCCGGCCTTCACGGCTCCCAGGGGGAGGCCCAGACAGGAGGCCAGAAATGGGGAGACAAGGTGGGGACCCTCTTCCACATGTAGCCACCAGGCACTAGACAGATCCCATTTCACCCAAGGGGGGTTCCATTCAGAGTCTGTGGCAGGACTTGGGGACCTGATGGTCCTGCAGCCACACGAGAAGGGGACAGTGGGACTTGGGGGCAGAGGCCAAGGTGCACGCTGAGTGGGAGAGGCCGGGGCACCGGGTGGGGCTGGGGGCACCAGGAGGCTGGGGTGCAGGCCTTTGTCCCAGATCCTCGGGTTCATGCCACACTGTCCCCTGCAAGTGACCCCTGTTGCTTTTGGTGTGTGTCCGGGGTGGCTCTTTCCCGTACTGCGCCCTGGGCAGGGGCCTGTGGTCACTGGAGGGCTGCCCGGGCCGGACTCACCCTGGGACGGGGATGGACCTGGTGGCCACCAGCTTCTTCTGCAGGGGTAGCAAGTCCCTCGGGGGGGTGTTCCTGCTGTCCCAGACTTTCAGGGACTCGGTGGCGGGCTCTGTCAGCCACGAGAACCTGCAACACGCGAACTCGTGTGGAGCTGGCCCCCGAAGGCGCGCTCGCTCTTCTGGAACTTTCTACCTGGGGGCACCCTTCCGCATGCTTGACCTGGGCACCTCTCCGGAGGCCCCTCAGCCTGGACTGGGACAATGTGGGGGACAGTAGGCGACAAGGCAGCTCCAGGCTGTCCGCACAGCAGGGCTCCTGGGGCCTGGGCGCGGGGGACTCTGTCCCTGGGAGGCCCTGGAATGCCCTGGTGGCGGGGCTGGGGGCACAGGGGACCTGGGGGTCTGGGCTTCGGGTACCTGTATGGAAAGCTGTTGGTGAATCTGTCCTGGGCCTTGCTCTTGGGTTTCTTATGTTGGGGATACTTCTTGTGGGTTCTCGGTTCCATGGTGCAGGGTGTCAGGACGGGAGCCTCTTAGCCATGGCTGGAAGGCAAGGGGTGACCTCTAGGGGAGGGCAGGGATGGCACAGGAGGGCTCCAGGTGGCCTCAGAAAGTTTGGGTGGCCAGGACCCAGAGGTCCCTCAAAGCCACTCCGTGGTGGCCATTCTCCTTGCTGACGTTGGGGTGGGGGACGGGCCTAGCACCTGGACTCCTTCGGCTTCCCGGGGACAGGAGTCCGGGGCAGCCCTCTGGCCTCAGGAGCATCCATCCTGGATCATCTCTCCCAACGGCCACTCGCTGCCCCCCAGACTGACTTGGGGCTGTCCTTCCTGGCCACATGGGCTGCCGGAGCTCACCAGGCAGCCCCGTCCCCAAATCTGAGCGAGACCACGGCGGGGCGTGGGTCAGAAAGTCCAGGAAGGACCACGGGAGGGTCGCTTTGGTTTCCCCAAGGATGGGCCCCTGGCCGGACGTTGACCATGGTCCTCACGGTCACCCCACGGAGGGAGCCTGCACTCCATGGCTCTGGCCAGGCAGGGCCTCTAGAAGCCTCTGAGGTCACAATCAGGGCAGCAGCTGGATCCTGGGACTTGCTGGCCCAAGGGAGTGACCGTGGACAGCAGCGAGCGGGTGGAGGTGTCACTGTGGCTGACCTGTCCTGGCGGACCTTGTCCTGACCCAAGCTCCAGCCCGCCCCCAGGTACCACCAGGCCAGGGTCTGGCCTGGACCTTGGGCTCTGCGGCCTGAATTCCTGTCTCCTGCCCCTCTGCTCCCCAGTGACCGTCATCTGCCAGGGGACACCGTTAGTACCACCTCAAGGGCTATGGGGGGCATCGGATGTGGTCACACGGGTCACATGCCCCCCAGCCGGGCTCTCCAGGAGACTTTTCAAGGTAAGTAGATGGGGATGTTCCAGGGCTGTGCAGATCTTCAGCTTCACTTTAGGTTTGCCCATTTCCCCTCTGGGCCGGGGGATCCTGCCAGATCCTAGACAGTGGCTTGAAAGGCACAGCAGGAAGGGACATCTTTGGTGACACACGTACTGGCTGGGGTCACAGGGGGGGCTCAGACACTCCCTCGGGCAGCCCACTTGTTTCCGTGAATAGATTCTGGAAACTTCTTCTTCCACCATTTTCCAAACTCCACTTCTTTCATTTTTAGTGGTTGGGTAGATTCCGTGGTATGGACACACACCACCGTTTGCTTAATCATTCCCTCACTGAAGGACATTTTTGGTCCTTCGCACTTTGGGGCTGTGGAGAATAAAGCGGGTTGGGGTGTGGTGGCTCAGGACTGTAATCCTAGCTACCCGGGAGGCTGAGGCAGGAGGATCGCACGTCTGAGGCCAGCCTCAGCAACTTAGCCAGGACCCTGTCTCAAAATAAAAATTTAAAAAAGGACTGGGGGTGAGGCTCCGTGGTAGAGTTCCCCTGGGCTCCATTCCCCCCGGTACAAAAGAAAAAAAACAATAAAGAGATGTAAATGTTCACACATACACACACAGAAATAAACACAAACCTTCATTTCTCTGGGATAAGTGCCTATCCATTTTGAGTTTTCGTTTGCACTATCAAAAGGTAGGATTTTAGGGCTGGGGCCGGGGCTCAGCGGTAGAGCGCTTGCCGAGCATGCATGAGGCACTGGGTTCGATTCTCAGCACCACGTGTAAATAAGTAAATAAAACGAAGGTCCATCAACCAATAATAAAAATATTAAAAAATCATGGAGGATTTTCAGAGAATTCTGAAATTCGTATCACCCTAAAGCCAAAAGCAGACAAAGACCCGTCAGGGAAAGGAAACTTTCGACCAATATCTTTCATGAACACAGATGTAAACATTCTTAAAAAAAAATATTGGCCAACTGCATACGAAAATACATGAAAGAGAGAGCGCACGATGATCAAGTGGGGTTCATCCCAGGAATGTAAGGTTGGCTCAACATGCAGAAATCAATCCATGTGACTCGCCACATCAAAAGACTTAAAGGCAATCATCACATGATTACCTCAATCGATGCAGAAAAGGCATTTAACAGAGTGCAGCACCCATTCATGTCAGAAAACCTAGGAATAGAAGGAACATCCCTCATAATGTAACGACGGCGTATGAAAAACCCAAGCCAACTGTGAATGGAGAAAACTGAAAGCATCTCTTCCAAAGGCAGGAGCCAGGCATGGATGCCCACCTTCACCACTCCTGTTTAACACACAGTCCTTGAAACGCTAGCCAGAGTGATTAGGCACGAAAAGGAAATTACAGGGATCCAAACAGGAAAAGAAGAGCTTAAATCATCTCTGTTTGCCAACACACCACGATCTTGCCTTTAGAACCCTCCAAAACCCCCACCAGATTTCTAGAACTCATAAACGAATTCAGCAAAGTATCAGAATGAAGCATCAACAGCAGATTCATCATTGGAGGATAGGAATGTGAGTGTTTTAA